AAAGTTGGTCTCTTTAATAAATCGAACCCCCTGAATACGAATCCGAGTTCATATTTGAGATACGAACTTTTGTGAATTTTGAATTTTTTTTTCTATAATGGCACTTTTAGGAAAATGATATCGTCCGCTTTAACGGTCTCTCAAATCCGAATCACTAATTTATACGATCCAAAAGTCACTTGTTGCGACTAAAAAACTCCAAGGAATTGAATGGCAGAAACCGCAAGTCTGGATCTTGGCCCATTTTGGAATGGTGAACCTCTAAACTCGAAAAATATTTGTTGAGTCATGCAATGAACCACGATTTCGACTGAACACAAATTTACATTAAACTGATGGCGGGAATAAATTCTGTACTGTAAAATTTGACTAGAAACTCAATTTCAGCCATATCGGAAAAGGTTCATTTTTTTACTTTATTTTTCGCTATACCTTAATTGTGAAAATTTTGGATTTGAATCGTTTAAAACTAGCTCAGTTAATAGGGCTCTCAGCATTCTGAAAGTTGGTCCCTTTAATAAATCGAACCTCCTGAATACGAATCCGAGTTCATATTTGAGATACGAACTTTTGTGAATTTTGAATTTTTTTTCAATAATGGCACTTTTAGGAAAGTTATATCGTCCGCTTTAATGGTCTCTCAAATCCGAACCACTACCTTATACGATCCAAAAATCACTTGATGCGACTAAAAAACTCCAAGGAATCGAATGGTATAAACCGCAAGTCTGGATCTTGACCCGTTTTGGAATGGTGAACCTCTAAACTCGAAAAATATTTTTTGAGTCATGCAATGAACCACGATTTCGACTGAACACAAATTTACATTAAACTGGTCGCGGGAATAAATTCTGTACTGTAAAATTTGAGCAGAAACTCAATTTCAGCCATATCGGAAAAGGTTCATTTTTTCACTTTATTTTTCGCTATACCTTAATTGCGAAAATTTTGGATTTGAATCGTTTAAAACTAACTGAGTTAATGGGGCTCTCAGCATTCTGAAAGTTGGTCTCTTTAATAAATCGAACCTCCTGAATACGAATCCGAGTTCATATTTGAGATACGAACTTTTGTGAATTTTGATTTTTTTTTTTTTTTTAATGGCACTTTTAGGAAAATGATATCGTCCGCTTTAATGGTCTCTCAAATCCGAACCACTAACTTATACGATCCAAAAATCTTTTGTTGCGACTAAAAAACTCCAAGGAATCTAATGGTAGAAACCGCAAGTCTGGATCTTGACCCGTTCTGGAATGGTGAACCTCTAAACTCGAAAAATATTTTTTGAGTCATGCAATGAACCACGATTTCGACTGAACACAAATTTACATTAAACTGATGGCGGAAATAAATTCTGCACTGTAAAATTTGACTAGAAACTCAATTTCAGCCATATCGGAAAAGGTTCATTTTTTCACTTTATTTTTCGCTATACCTTAATTGCGAAAATTTTGGATTTGAATCGTTTAAAACTAGCTCAGTTAATGGGGCTCTCAGCATTCTGAAAGTTGGTCTCTTTAATAAATCGAATCTTCTGAATACGAATCCAAGTTCATATTTGAGATACGGACTTTTGTGAATTTTTTATTTTTTTTTGTATGATGACACTTCTAGGAAAATGATATCGTCCGCTTTAATGGTCTCTCAAATCCGAACCACTAACTCACACGATCCAAAAATCATTTGTTGCGACTAAAAAACTTCAAGGAATCTAATGGTACAAACCGCAAGTCTGGATCTTGGCCCGTTTTGGAATGGTGAACCTCTAAACTCGAAAAATATTTTTTGAGTCATGCAATGAACCACGATTTCGACTGAACACAAATTTACATTAAACTGATGGCGGGAATAAATTCTGTACTGTAAAATTTGACCAGAAACTCAATTTCAGCCATATCGGAAAAGGTTCATTTTTTTACTTTAATTTTCGCTATACCTTAATTTCGAAAATTTTGGATTTGAATCGTTTGAAACTAGCTCAGTTAATGGGGCTCCCAGCAGTCTGAAAGTTGGTCTCTTTAATAAATCGAATCTTCTGAATACGAATCCAAGTTCATATTTGAGATACGGACTTTTGTGAATTTTTTATTTTTTTTTGTATGATGACACTTCTAGGAAAATGATATCGTCCGCTTTAATGGTCTCTCAAATCCGAACCACTAACTCACACGATCCAAAAATCATTTGTTGCGACTAAAAAACTTCAAGGAATCTAATGGTACAAACCGCAAGTCTGGATCTTGGCCCGTTTTGGAATGGTGAACCTCTAAACTCGAAAAATATTTTTTGAGTCATGCAATGAACCACGATTTCGACTGAACACAAATTTACATTAAACTGATGGCGGGAATAAATTCTGTACTGTAAAATTTGACTAGAAACTCAATTTCAGCCATATCGGAAAAGGTTTTTTTCTTCACTTTATTTTTCGCTATACCTTGCGAAAATTTTGGATTTAAATCGTTTAAAAGTAGCTCAGTTAATGGGGCTCTCAGCATTCTGAAAGTTGGGCTCATTAATAAATGGAACCTCCTGAATACGAATCCGAGTTCATATTTGAGATACGAACTTTTGTGAATTTTGAATTTTTTTTTTATAATGGGACTTTTAGGAAAATGATATCGGCCGCTTTAATGGTCTCTCAAATCCGAACCACTAGCTTATACGATCCAAAAATCATTTGTTGCGACTAAAGAACTCCAAGGAATCTAATGGTACAAACCGCAAGTCTGGATCTTGGCCCGTTTTGGAATGGTGAACCTCTAAACTCGAAAAATATTTTTTGAGTCATGCAATGAACCACGATTTCGACTGAACACAAATTTACATTAAACTGATGGCGGGAATAAATTCTATACTCTAAAATTTGACTAGAAACTCAATTTCAGCCACATCGGAAAAGAGGTTCATTTTTTCACTTTATTTCTCGCTATACCTTAATTGCGAAAATTTTGGATTTGAATCGTTTAAAACTAGCTCAGTTAATTGGGCTCTCAGCATTTTGAAAGTTGGTCTCTTTAATAAATCGAACCTCCTGAATACGAATCCAAGTTCATATTTGAGATACAAACTTTTGTGATTGTTGAATTTTTTTTTATAATGGCACTTTTAGGAAAATGATATCGTCCGCTTTAATGGTCTCTCAAATCCGAACCACTAACTTATACGATCCAAAAATCATTTGTTGCGACTAAAAAACTCAAAGGAATTGAACCTCTAAACTCGAAAATTTTTTTTTAAATACAAAATGAACCACGATTTCGATTGATATCGAATTAACATTAAATTGGTGGTGGGAATGAATTCTGCACTACAAATTTCCACTAGAAACTCAATTTCGGGCAGATCAGAAGAATTTTATTTTTCATCTTACTGAAAAAATTTTGAATTTCAACATTTCGCATTATCTCGGTTAGTTAGGCCCTCAGAATTATGAAAATTGGTCTCGTTACTAATTCGAATGCCCTGAACACCAATCCGGGTTCATTTTTGAGCTATCGACTTCCTTGAATTTTTTTATTTTTTTACATGGTGCCACTAATTCGAAATTGAAACAGTCCGCTTCATCGGTCTCTAAAGCCCGAACCACCAACTTTACACGATCCTAAAATCATGGGCTGCGATTAAAAATCCCAGGGAATCTAATGGTACAATCTGCAAGTCCGGATTTTGAGCCGTTTTGGAATAGTAAACCCGTAAACACGAAAAATAATCTTTGAAATACAAAATGAACCACGATTTCCATTAACGTCGAATTTATATTAAACTGATGGCGGAAATGAATTCTGCACTACAAATTTCGACTAAAAACTCAAATTCAGGCAGATCTGAAGATTTTTATTTTTTATCTCATCTTCCGTCATACTGAAAAAATTTTGGATTTCAACATTTCGAATTATCTCGGTTAGTTAGGCCCTCAGAATTATGAAAATTGGTCTCGTTACTAATTCGAATGCCCTGAACACCAATCCGGGTTCATTTTTGAGCTATCGACTTCCTTGAATTTTTTTATTTTTTTACATGGTGCCACTAATTCGAAATTGAAACAGTCCGCTTCATCGGTCTCTCAAGCCCGAACCACCAACTTTACACGATCCTAAAATCATGGGCTGCGATTAAAAATCCCAGGGAATCTAATGGTACAAACTGCAAGTCCGGATTTTGAACCGTTTTAGAATAGTAAATCCGTAAACAAAAAAAATAATTTTTGAAATACAAAATGAACCACGATTTCTATTGACATCGAATTGATATTAAACTGATAGCGGAAATGAATTCTGCATTGGAAATTTCGACTAGAAACTCAATTTCGGGCAGATCAGAAGACTTTTATTTTTCATCTTATTGAAAAAATTTTGGATTTCGACATTTCAAATTATCTCGGTTAATTAGGCCCTCAGAATTATGAAAATTGGTCTCTTTACTAATTGGAATGTCCTGAACACCAATCCGGGTTCATTATTGAGCTATCGACTTCCTTGATTTTTTTTTTTATTTTTTTATATGGTGACAGTAATTCGAAATTGAAATGGTTCGCTTCATTGGTCTCTCAGACCCGAACCACTAAGTTCAGACGATCCTAAAATCATGGACTGCGATTAAAAATCCCAGGGAATCTAATGGTACAATCTGCAAGTCCGGATTTTGAACCGTTTTGAAATAGTGAACCCGTAAACCCGAAAAATAGTTGTTGAGATACAACATAAACCACGATTTCGATTGATATCGAATTAATAAGTACTAAATTGATGGCCGGCATGAATGGGTTCAAAATCAACTACTTGTTATGAATAGAAAACCCCAAGGAAGTAATGGTACAAACCCCAAATCTGGATCTTGAATTGTTTTGAAATGGGAACAACATGTTCAGAGGTTCAGAATGATCGGAAAAGTTTCGTGTTTTCAACTTTTCAACCCTTGCCGTAAAAGCCGCATTTGACGGCACCCGTAACGTCCCGCCAAGATGGCGAACACGACAAACCTTGACAAACGGGACTTACCGATGCATCCATGGGATTATGTCAACATCGCTGTTCACATAGTTGGAGCGTTCGAGCGGAATTCGGGCGTCGAGACGCGTCAGCTCAAGAACTTCCGTTACAAGCTGTTAGATCCCGTCGTTCCCGCTCTAATTCGCGAGGTGGAAGAGGACGGAGGCGGTCGAAGACCTCCCCTTTGGCAGATTGTAATCGTTTCGGTCCTGCATAATAAAATATCGCCCGTGCGATTTTTCTTCCATTTGGGATTCTTGTAGCGAGTTGTAAACCTGCAACGGAATTTGATAGTTTAATTACGTGCAAATACCACGGTTTTGCTCGATTTATCTTTCGGTTTAATTGTTCTGGGTGCAGCCGAAGACGCTTATTGGATTCGGTCTGCGTTCTCCGTTTTTAACCAAAGATTATTAATTAAACTATAATTGAATCAGGGGCGAAGCGAGGGTTTTTTTGTTGTGGGATTTCGTAGGTAAATAGGCGAGATTTATTGCTAATTAGGCGGTTCGGTGTTTAATGGAGTTGGAGGAGCTAATAAGGCGACTTGGTTGAGGTCGGTTTTAACACGAATATACCAAGATGTTTTTAGACGAAGGTAGACCATGTAAGCAAATTTAGTAATTTTTAATGAAAAATGAAATTTATCAGCGACTTCCGCAAAATTATCAAAGCGTTTATGATTTGTAGTGGAGTGATACCTGGGCGAAAAATTTAATTAAAACATTCTCTTTAAATTACGGAGCGCTTTGTATTCGTGGCCCTTTTGCTTATGCAGTGTTGGCATGCCTGGCTGCGTCTTCGTGAATACCCCGACAACTATTAATTAATTTTTCCGTCAGATGTCGTTAGTGGTGTTCGCTAATTTCATGACGTGCCAATGCATTTGCTGCAACGAGCGGTGACGCGTTTGCGGTGCGTTAATTAACGTTCGCGGTCGGGTAGCTCGGTCGATAATGCAGCCGCCCACTTTGCCGATAAACAACATACGATATCGAAATCATCTGGGGGATTACCGCAACCGACCTAACGATTGCGATTGCAATGGCGGCGTGATTGCGAGGGGAGACGGACTGACCCAGATTTGCGGGAAAGCGTCGCTTAAGGGAGAACCGCGGTCAGAGCCACCTTAAGAAAAAAATAGTCGTTCGAGTCAAATTTTCAACGAAGGGTGTCCAATGTCCATGAGGATTTTTCAGCCGTCTTTCGTAATTTCGTTGCGCAGCAGCCGTTGTTTTTTTTTCTGGTGCGGAGAAAAAAGGGCTTAATTGTCGAAGCCGGGAGCTGAATGTTTCTTTTTTCTTCATTTTCAAAGCGACTTTCTGTAGCGTGGAGGCAGGCAATAACTGTCGCGTCTTATTGGATTTACTCTGTATCAATAAAGGGTATACACTGCCGGCATTTATTTTAGGCTGACATTATCTTTACTGTGAGTTAAATAAATTACTTTCGTCCGTCGGACGTCTATTTACCTATACTTTGTTCGGAAAAATTAGCGCCAAATTCGGCGCTAATTTTTCTTCTTCGCTTTAAGGCGGCTTCGGCGCTCTTAAATAAATTTACAAGTGATGTTGGCAGGTCTTTACGTTTTTGTCGCCGGTGTTGGATTTAAAGCGAATGTTCTCCGGAAAATCGCCGGATTTTGTCCATTTCGCACGTTTATGTGAAGGGTGTCGATCACACCGGATTAAAAGAAAATGAAATCATTACAGATACAAATGGAGAGTGTGATGGGCTACGTTTTCCAGTTCGACCCTGGACAAGCCTAGAGTGTCTTGACGTAATTTTGTAAGTTAGAAAAAAACAGATATGGTAGTTGCTACCCTTCAGAAGAGTACAGGCTATAGATTTGAGTTATCTGTCTTTGTTGGTCAAACATATTATACACCCCAGACACGACCTCGTCCATTTTTTTTTTAATAATCAATCATAACAAGCACAGAAAAAAATGACAAAGATGTCGCTGCCAAATAATGACAAAATTGAAAAAATTAATAGTCTACTCTTCTTTAAAAAATTTAGACACATAGGTCCGTTTAAATTTTCTTCAAAAAAATGTGGAACAATGACGTGGTTACCAACAATTCCACACCAAGCATTAACTTTGAAAACTTCTTGGAAGTGCTTTTCCAGACACCAATGGGGATTTTGTTGGGCATAATAATGTGAGTTGGGTCTGTTTACACACCCGTTATTGGTAAATGTGGCTTCATCCGTAAACAAAACGTTAAATAAAAATCTTGATTGTCTCGTAATTGAGCTCTCACGAATTTGCAAAACACTAACCGTCGGATAAAATCGCGTTCTGTTAAATGTTGGATAATTGTTACATGGTATGGATGAAATCGGTTTGCCTTTAAGATGTGGAAAACCGAACCCAAACTAATCTCCATTTGTCTTGCAATCGGTCTTTGACTCACATGGGGATTTTCTGCTACAATTTCAATTAGAGCAGCTTCATTATCCGGCGTTGTTACAGTTCGATTTCTAACTTTTTTTTTGAATTGTCCAAATTCTCGTAATTTTTTTTTAAGTTTTCTAAATGCTTGATTTGAGGGAGTTCTTCTATTGGGGAACAGCACCATCAAAATTTTTGTCACACTTTCCCAATCTTAATAGCACGTCGGTTTTTTCCGAATTCGAAAACATTTTAAAGCAAACGAAAATTGAAAATATTTGGCTGATAGAAATAATTTGTCATAATTTTGGTTGTGATCATTACTATCTATGCGTTCATTATTTTTTAAAAATAAAAATTAATCAAAGCTGTGTATGAAACGTAAAATGGGTTGCCTATGCAGAGATATTCAGACGTAGACAGACAAAGTGAACACCCTGTATATATCAAAGAGGAGCGGCTCGAGCAGTGAACCTTGTGGTACTCCACACCCCTGACTGTAAGATGTGTTAACAGTATCCCAAACACGAAACATACTGAGAACGATTTTGTTAAATAATATTCCATCAAAACTGAGAAAACTCGCAAGATTTTCAAAAATTTTGGAAAGTTCTGTAAAATCACACGAACACTGTTTTGACCGTTAAATTAGGGACGGTCTCCGTTCTCTCTTTTTTTGTAATAAAGAATAAATCTAATAACAAATACTTAGTACCTACAACAAAAAAATTACGATTGGCATTTTTTTTTTTCTTTTTTTAACAACCTAACCCTGCCACCTACCCGTTCTTTCATTTCAGTGATTCATTTTATCTGGTTTGATTGAAAGGTATGTCTTATACTCAACAGAAATAAAATCGTCAATGAGAAAAATGGAGTGGGCGGAGCTAATACTTGCCAAGATAAAACTGATTTTGGTAAATGACATACGCCTTAAGTAAATAAAGGGTGGGTGGGTGGGGCTAGTATTCGCTAATATAAGACTAATTGTAGTAAATGACATATCTTCTAAGAAAATAGAGGGCGGGTGGGCGGTACTAGTACTTGTTAGTAGGACCAATTATGACAAATGACGTACCCTTTAGGAAAATTAAGACTGAACAGTTTTAAGAGTAGTGACAGGAATGAAGAGAGGGTGGGTGAGTGGGGCTGTTGCTTAATTGTAAAAGACTCTGTTGGAAAAATTTAAACTGCCCCGCCCACCCACCCGTTCTTTCTTTTTTTTTTTGAAATAAGGAATAAATCTTATTTCTAGGATCAATATTTATCGTCCACCCACTCCGGCTTCATTTCAGTGATTCATTTTATCTGGTTCGATTGAAAGGTGTGTCTTATACTCAACAGAAATAAAATCACCAATGAGAAAAGCGCGCGTGGGCGGAGCTAGTATTTGCTAAGATAAGACTGATTTTGGTAAATGACATATCTTCTAAGAAAACAGAGGGCGGGTGGGCGGGAGTAGTACTTGTAAGTAAGACTGATTACGGCAAATGACTTACCCTCTAAGAAAATTAAGGGTGTATGGGCGCCACAATGACTTGCTAACATAGACTGAACAATGTTAAGAGTATTGACTGGAATTAAGAGAGGGTGGGTGGGTGGGGCTATTGCTTAATTGTAAAAGACTCTGTTGGAGAAAGTTAAACTTAGCCCCGCCCACCCACCCGTTCTCTCATTTCAGTGATTCATTTTATCTGGCTTGATTGAAAGGTGTGTCTCATACTCAAAAGAAATAAAATCGTCAATGAGAAAAATGGAGTGGGCGGAGCTAGTACTTGCTAAGATAAGACTGATTTTGGTAAATGACATACGCCCTAAGTAAATAAAGGGTGGGTGGGTGGGGCTAGTATTCGCCAAGATAAAACTGATTGTAGCAAATGACATATCTTCTAAGAAAATAGAAGGAGGGTGGGCGGGACTAGTACTTGTAAGTAAGACTGATTCCGGCAAAAAACGTACCCTCTAAGAAAATAGAGTGTGTATGGGCGGGACTAAGATTTGCTAAGATAAGACTGAACAATATTAAAAGTAGTGACTTGAATGAAGAGAGGGTGGGTGGGTGGGGCTACTGTTAAATTGTAAAAGACTCTGTAGGAAAAAGTTAAACCTAGCCCCGCCCACCCACCCGTTCTCTTATTTCAGTGATTCATTTTATCTGGCTTGATTGAAAGGTGTGTCTTATACTCAACAGAAATAAAATCGTCAATGAGAAAAGCACGACTGGGCAGAGCTAAGACTTGCTAAGATAAGACTGAACAATATTAAGAGTAGTGACTTGAATGAAGAGAGGGTGGGTGGGTGGGGCTATTGCTTAATTGTAAAAGACTGTTGGAAAAGTTAAACTTAGCCCCGCCCGCCCATCCGTTCTCTCACTACAGTGTTTCATTTTATCTGGTTTGATTGAAGGTGCCTCTTATAATCAACAGAAATAGAATCGTCAATGAGAAAAGTGGAGTGGGCGGAGCTAGTACTTGCTAAGATAAGACTGATTTTGGTAAATGACATACGCGCTAAGTAAATAACGGGTGGGTGGATGGGGTTACACTTCGCTAATATAAGACTGATTGTAGCAAATGACATATCTTCTAAGAAAATAGAGGGCGGGTGGGCGGGACTAGTACTTGGAAAGTAAGACTGTTTGTGGCAAAAAACGTACCCTCTAAGAAAATAACGGGTATTTGGGCGGGACTATGATTTGCTAAGAGAACTGAACAATATTAAGAGTAGTAACTAGAATGAAGAGAGGGTGAGTGGGTGGTACTATTGCTTAATTAGAAAACACTTTGTAGGAAAAAGTTAAATTTCGCCCCGCCCACCCACCCGTTCTCTCATTTAACTGATTCATTTTATCTGATTTGATTGAAAGGTGTGTCTTAT